AATGTGCATTAAAAGTATGATATTGATTGTTTACCTTAAATGCCCTAACTGTAGCAAATTAGTCATTTCTGACCTTTTATGATTATTTCCCACTGCAGGACCAGATAATACATCTTATTTCTTATTTCTGCCCAGATATAAAACTAACAGTAGCAAAAAAGACCATAGTATAGGAGTGAACCTCTTTATAACTGATCTGTCATTTTTTTTACAATAGCCTAGAGTCATCATATTTTGATCTGTTTTTAAATTAAAAAAATGCTAAACAATAATGCAAATTAATTACCAATGTATTAATAAAAGATCCAAAATATATAAGCTACTTGTTTTATTTTCCTTAGGGCTAACATATAGTAATAGAAGCATCCTTATGGCAACAGTAAATGATTGACCATTGCAAACATTCATTTCCAGGAAGCCTGACTCCATGGAGTGATGTTCAAACTTCTCCAAAATGAGGATGCATTAAGTGGGGGAACATTCTAGATAGCTATATTTGTGTGCGCATATGTGTGTTTGTACACGTACACATGTGAGTTTTTTTTCCTAGCTGAGCAGTTCTACTGGTCTCAATGAACCAATTGCAAATCCAAAAGTTATATACACACAGAAGCTGAAAGGCTGTGAACTGTGACAACTGCTGGTTTTAACTGCTATAGGAATTGAGACAATATAAAGTTTTTCTAAGAGACAATTCTCTATCCTTGCTTCCTTGCAAACTCAAAAGGAACTCCAAAAACTCCAACACATGTAAATTAAAACTGATTTGGAGTAAGTCAACATTTCACAGTTTTTTTCCCATGATGTGTTGCATGGCCAAGCCATCCCTGCTGAGGGTTTCCTATTAATTGAGCTCTCGGTCCAATAGTGGGCTCTCTGACTCTAGCCCTCACTTGTCTACCATAGCTGTGATGGTTAAAAGCTTCTCCGGTTTGTCACAGAGTTTAATATGCACCCTACATAATTATGCAGGATTCACTGTGCTATCAAACTGCAATTCAAATTAGTTCAGGATTAAAGGCACAGAACAGTACTGCTTCCTTAATTGCATTGTAGTGTGCTGATCACATTCAAATACCCATTACTCATTCCCTCTGTGGAGCAATAAGTCAGGGGGATTAATATTCAGGCAGGTGACAGGGCCAAGCCATTAAAAAGCAGTTATGCAGAAAGCATGGCTGGTTTTATTCACGTTAATGAAATCAGTGAAATGAAACTGTAATAGATTTATCAAAGCTCAGATGGATTTGCTGTAAATCAGTTTGATTCAAGCAATCAAACTGGACAATAGAGATAGTTTTCAGCTCTAGCAATGGGTGTCAGAAAGCAGCATGTGAGAAGCGCTGATATTCTTCATGTATGGATGGGATAGCCACCTCGTGTGCAGGCCTATTCCCAAACCACTGCCGCTAATTTTTTTGTCTTTTGAACTAGGTGCCAGTGGCTGATAAAACATACAGCATATCATCTTAATACAGCACTTACACTGTTTTTATTCCTCATTTTTAAGTACCCTAGAACATCAATTCTTACCAATTGCTGGCAAGGAAGAAAAAAAAAAAAAGCAAAGTTCCACAGAACACAAATTAGCATTTACTCTCCCTGTACTGTCCAGAGCAGGAAAGCAACTTTGGCCAGGGCATCAGGACACAATTAACACAAATGTCTCCTACACCTGAACAAGAGCAAAGGGGAAACAAGTCAGGTCACCGTTTCCAAGACTGATGGGCTGACACAGGAGCTGAGAAGAAGCTGAAAATTTACTTTTGTTCTGGGTCTAATGAAATAATTTGGTATCCATTAGAGGGCAGCATAAGAACAAAAACTCAGCCCAGCAATGGAGACCTCCCCTGCAGAAAGACAGCACCTCAGAGGTCACAGGAAACTTTTCCAAGGCAGTCACATTGCCAAACCAAGAGCAAGGGATAGAGAGAACTAAAGTCCCAGAGATCAGAATGCAAGGCTTGTAAGGGAAACGTGACTCCAGCCATAGCACACAGCAATTGAGCTCTCCTGATCTCGGTGCACATATTAATGTCCCCCCTCACACACACACACCCCACCAGCCCCCTTAGGATTAAAGGAGAATGTTCCTGGCTTGAGCTCAGAGTCTGTCTCAAGTATTTTGTGCACTGGTTTTGTGGCTGAGACCGCAATGGAACTGTGAAGTAGTGAGCCAAGTTTTTGTTTTCTTAAAAAAGTACATCATGAAGAGTAGGTTAGATGAAGACTACTCTAATTGGTCTAATTTTTAATTATTAGAAACAAATTGTTCGAGAGAACTACAGCCAGTTTTTAATGATCCAAAACAGAAGTAAATGTTCTGGTCTATTAGCATCCTATATGGAATAAATCAATATTAAAGCTAATTAACCCTTTTCCAAGGCATTTTTGCCTTGGTTTTTATTTAATGGCTCAGTGCTGCTTGCAGCATGGATCAAGCTGACTAAGTTCCATTTAAAAGATAGACCATTTTGATACAGGGCAGAAACTCGCTAGGACAAGCATCTTTACCAGGATAGACTTGGCTTTGCAGAATCTACAAAGAACTGACTTTGGCTCCTTAAAAGACTGACAGTAACATGGACGGTAAGAGTCAGAGCCTAATCATCTACTCAGGACTGCTGTAATAACATAGCTGATTTCATGTACTGCTTTTAAAAATTATTTATTAGAAATTTCAGGGTTTTTTTTATTTTTAAGGATACTTCTTGCTGGAGATGAAGGAGGTGGGGATTCATGCAGAACTGATTTCACTCTAGATCATATGTGAAATACAAACCTAGGATTTGGCCTTTTTGGAAGAAGCTATGATTTTTTAATAGTGTTGAAACACATAGTACCAAGCACCTATCTTTCAGGACATAAATGACTACTTTGACATATGAAACCAATGAAAATTATATACATTATTTAAAAAACTCAATACCCATCCCCCCCCTTTTTTTGATACAAGCAATCGCAGGGCACACTTTAATATCAAGCTATTTTTGACTTATAAAATAGATGATATATTTTGTACATGAATTAAATTCTTCGCGGTACCAGAGGAATTAATTTGTAGTGTTATGAAATTTTGATTAGCCTGCTGTAAAATCAGAATTGTTTACCCCAAGTGTCTACAGTCTGACTCTCTCGGTCTCTCCACACAGATAATGAAATGAACCGGAGCAGTGAGGTGGGGGTTGGGGAGGAGTAATTTATGAAAACATGGAACACCATAATTTTGCCATTTTTCTGCAATAAGGATGGCAAATGATTCATGGGATAAAATGAAATATTTCTCACTGTCATTTCAATGGATCTAAGATTTACAGCTTCTTAACTTGGATAGGAAAAACTCCGTATGCATAAAAATGAATTGTAAGTCAATTAATGATGAGGATGGAAGGAGGGAAAAAGCCAAGAGTGAAGCAATGGGAGAAAAGCTAACAAGCAACATACAAATGGGTGGTCGTTTACTCTAACCCCAGAGGAGGACGGGGCGAGGAAGGACAGACAAAGCCCTGGATTAAACGAGGGCGCTGAGGACAGGCGAAATAAGTGTCATGTTAATTGAGCTTATTACATTTAGATTATTTAGACAAACAAAATCAAGTAAGTCTAGATGGAAGTTCAAGAAAAAGCTAATAAAAATCTAGACCCACTTGTACAGAATGAGATGAGAGCCAACAAAGAACACTAAGTCTGAGGGCCTAAGGCAAGGAGGTGTGTGTGCACGGGAGTGAGATGCGTGGATGTGCATGCATGTGTGTGTGTGTGTGTGTGTGTGGTATGTGTATGTATGTGTGTTGCTTAGGACAGGGAGGTAGAGTGTGTGTTTCTATGTGTGTATGTCTCTCTGTGTCTGTGATGCTTAATGCAGGGAGGTGTGT